CTCCTCTCTCACTCACTCTCTCTCTCTCTCTCTCTCTCTGGTTCACTCTCCTCCAACCGTTCTTTTTCCCCTCTTTCCCTCTCGTTCTCTGATCGAACTGTCGGCGTAACATAGGGCTTAACGCCGTCAGAGAATACCTGCACGAGGCATCCAGTCGTTTCAGCTACTCGACCGTGAGCCCGTGGCCAGGTTTGCTGCGTGCGGTAACGCCGTCGTTCTTGCTGCCCACGAGCGGAGCCAGAATCCCGGTTCCGTTCCTCTTCCCGGCCGTCCTCTCTTTCCCTCCGTTCACGGCCGGGATATCGATTCTTATTCGAAAGTTGCCCGATTTCGCGTCGCCGCGGCATGCGTCCCCTTCTATCCCTTAGGGGATACTGGATGCAGGGAAGCCCGTAGGCTAGCCAGTCTCGTTGAATATCGCGTCTCCGAGCTCGGGGATCCCGGAACAGTCGACTGCGATGCGTCTTGCATTTCCATCGGTTTCACGGAAATTGCTCGCTCGCTCGCTGCTCACTCCCCTTCTTTCGATTCCACCTCGCGCCGCGATGTTCCAGGCTCGAGCCGAGAGTTCGGGGGCGGCGGGACGGCGGGGGTTAGGGATCCGGTTGGACGTTAAGTCGAAATTTCACACGGCTCTCTCGCGGCGCGCACACCGCGCTGGAAATTCCGCTGGACGCCGGGGTTTCGCGGATTATCGCCGGAGGAGAGGAGAGACAGGGAGGAGGAGGAGGAGGAGGAGGAGGCAACGCGCCGGCGTGCCGGACGCGTGTTCGTCATTAATCCCGTGGCGCGCGAATACCCGCGAGATTATCGCGTGAAGTATTGGATGTAATATGCATACAAGCTGCAATTTTCCGTGAAGTATATCGCCCGCGTCGATCCTAAGCGCTGTCGCTGTATCACTGTTATTACGCGGGCCGCGTTACGGAAGCCCGACCCCGGCCCGGGAAACTGTATCCATTATTTTTACGCCGGCACGAGGATGTTTCTATTCCGGGGAGATTGGAGTGTGAGCGACTGCGGCCCGACGATCGTGTATGTTTTTCGTTTCAACGGCGATTTTTCATGGTTACGGGGCTGGGTACGAGGAAGTTGTTCCACGGTGATCTGTGCTGCGGTTTGGAGACAGTTTAGCGTGCCACAGGCGATTTAGGAGTTGTTTCATTCGACT